CCCCATCGCCCATCTTCAACCCCATCCCCCGTCGTGCCGACTCTCCCACTTCCTCTCGATTCGACATAACCGCCCACGTTTAGTCGGTCTGGAGGGTAATACATTGTTTGCTCTTCGTTCGCTAAACTAAACCGCATTCGGAATTAATTGCACGTTAGAAGGCCACGGGATAATTAAAGCCTCCCCGATTACCTTCGCTTGCCGTGCTACGATCCCGATGCATTCCTGTCCGACGTCTTCGCCGAGATCAGGAATTGTAATAAAGCAATGCCATTTAACCATAATGAAGGTACGCTGATCAAAGAGATGTAAAACTATGTCTGGTCCCGGAAACTATTGATCCTGCGCAACCGACGGATGGAACGTTTTCTTGTTAAATGTTGTTCGCACGGAATTGTATCGTGCTTTCGTGGATTAATTAACCGTTTGCTGTCACACTGGGTCCACGCTTTTATCGAAAAAGTGAATTTAAAAATTAATTCAATACAGGGTAATCAAGTCAGTTGCTGTAGGGAGATCAATTGATGTGGCTTTGATTTGTTTTCGGGAATAATTAACTTTACGTTTATCGAACAAGACGTATTAACCCCTTGCACTCGGAACAGATTTTGCAATCATTAAGATTTCGTTACACAGAGTCGAATTAAAGGAAAAATTATTACGCTGCTCGAAAATTTTATAGGAGCTGATAAATGAAAGATTTTCATATCTATTTATATATTTGTATGTATGCATTATTTATGCATTGTGATTACCTTACAATATGATGAAACATAATAATTAAAAAGGGATGCCACTTTGACATGAATATATTGTGTCGCCGTATCGACGACATCCGAGTGCAAAGGGTTAAATTTGTTTATTCTTTTATTTTGAATATTTTTTAATACAGAAATATAATACGTTTTATCCGATAAAGATAAAGTTAATTATGCCCGAAAACAAACCAAATGCACAGCAATTAGTCACCCTACGGTAACTGGCTCCGCTACCCTACTTGGAAGTGTGATATCGGGTTCTAATAAAGGAAACGATGTTTCAGAATGTTCAAATTATATTCCCAAATTTTTGTGTCTCAAAAGTATTGCTAGTTTTTGAGTGACAGCTGTTTGAAAATTGTACGACGTACATACGTGCTTCGCATAGAAAGTGTGACAGCGGGAGTTAGGAGCACGGTTTCGTTCCAGCTGTGTAGGAAACGTATTTCGTCTCTGATAGTTTTTAGACAAGTATCGATATTAACTCTTTGCCCTCGGAGAATTTTTTCAGATCGCGTACCAGTAACTTGACATATTTATTCGTGAAATAGTAACTAACTTGAATATAATATCGAATGATACAGCGTTGAAAATAATTACTCTGTTTTGCAACAACATTGTATTTATATAGACTCGATGAAACAAAAATTTCGAATCTCTAAATTTCTAAATGGCTTCTTGCAACCGATGCACTTTCAATTTGCACAGAAACGTGCACTCTAGTCACAATGAAACTGTTCGATCAACTACATCAAATTAACTAATGTGTTTTGTTCGAAAAAATGATGTACAAACGTTTCTATTTGCCACTCGATGTTGATAGAACTGCATATTCGCAGAAAGTCGAAAATATAATTCGAATTAAAAACCATTTGCATGTATACACGCTTGAAAAAATGCACTCTTTTCACAACGTGTTTCACAAAGTTTTTAACTACGAATTTGAACTGAACATATCTCGGGTCTGATCAATTGGATTGTAATCAATAGTGGCAGCATCCCGTATTATAAATCGTTGTTTGTTTTCCATAGATATGACACTTTTATACATAAATATCCTCCTGACAGTTTCGGGACTTATAACAATTCAAGAATCCCAGTTTACAAGCCGATAGATCGTAAATCTTCTCGTCCTGGTATGATACAGTTTCGGACCCATACGTTTTAATTCGCGATATTTTTATATTTTTTTATGGAAAAAATTTAAAACGGAAGAGTGAAATTGTTTTTTTTCAGCTATATTGAATCCGACGGAATGTTTTTGCATTTTTTGCATCGAGGTATTTTTCTATGTAATTCGTGAATAATGATATTTCATGAAAACAAATTCTATTGGAATTTCTGTATTACGTTTAAGGAAATATCTGCTATTGTGGAATTTATTTTTGTGGAAAGAAATGTTGGTTTTGGAAACTTTAGAAAGTGATGTCATATTCTAGAATGTGTATAATAAAAGTTTTACAGAAACATATTATTATTACGTCGATATACGAAAATATTCCATAAGAGAAATACAAACAATCTTCGAACTGTGAATTATGCGTCTCATAATAATGACTGTCAATTCAACTGTAATAATTATTTAATGTTATTGCACTGCTATTCGTTAAGTGATATTCATAATAACCGAAAACTTTTTTTGATTCTTATTCTTTTCTGTTTTTACCGAAACTGATGAAGAGAGAAATTTTTTTAGAGAAGTTACACCGTCTGTGTTTTATTAAATAAAGCAAAAGTAATAATTGCCTATGTATAGTTCTTTTATCCTGCAGTTCATATGTATTTTGTGTAAAAATAGTTTCTCTGCGCACGCTGTAATTGCCATTATGAAAAATATACACGCCTCGTATATAAGCTATCGGAGATAAAACACGCGTCGTGGTCTTTGAAAAAATAAACGAAAGGGTGGGCAAACGCCAACAAACCCCAATCGACTTCTCCGATAATCTATAGCTTTTTTCCTCGGCGTGGAAAACCGCCCGGCCGAGGGACCGGCAAGAAGCCATTGTTTCTTCGCGTACGGCCAGTTTGATTGTGCTAATGAAAAATGGGAAAGAAGTAAAACCGAGCCAATAGCTCCACGTCGAATCGCACCAAGGGGTGGGAGGCTCGTTCACTTTTGTAGGGTGAGATGGGAATTGAATATGATCCAAAAGTGTTCATAAATGAATAACATCCGTGAGGGATAAGATATCGTGAGATTATACCTATTATCATATATCTACGAGGAGGCAATGTTTTTGTGCCGTTATTGATGGCCATATTTCTTTCCGGTTGTGAGAATTATCGATCTCGTAAATATTCAGATGTCAATAGTTTTTGCTCATACGTTCGATGTAAATATCCAGTGGTAAAATGGCTCCGCGGATACAATAAAATAATAATTTTATTTATAGGTATCAATAAAAAGCAATTGGCATTTAAACGTTACGTGAGAAATAAATTTCTTGGCTGGTTTATACTGCAGATGGTTTTATCGCTTTCTAGTATATGTTCTTGACATTTACATTAGAATATCAACATTAGAGATATTAACATTGAGAATGGAAGTGCTTTCGAATCGTATAATTAATTACATATATAAACACTTATATTTTGTAAAAATTATGTGCGATAAGTGGTTGAAATTTATGAGAAAGTAGCTGTCAACAATGAAATAACACGTTCATTCTTTATCAGAGAAAATAATGAATCAATGAACAGTAGTTTATGATATACATATATTGTATATTTTTGTATTAACTGAAAATAACATCATTGAATTTATTGAATTTTCTGGTAAGGAGTATACAATTAATAAATATTGTTGCACATATAAAATTACAAATTATATGTGTGAAGATCTTAAGATAAATATATATGTAAGCATATTTATGAATTATTGCGTTCATGAATTATTAAAATTAGATTTTTGTAATACCATTTTTTAACAATACTATTTTCATCGTTTGAATGTACGCGCCATGTGCAGTATCAAATCATGCTTAGCACTCGTAGTAGATATGAAGTATAGCAATACTTGATTCGTACTAACAAGCTTATGTGTCGTAAATTATCGATAACATCTGGTGTAAAACTAAAACTATGTGAGAATTCTACAGACTGTACAAAACTTAGGCAAAAATTTTCATAATGTATAATTTTATATCTTAAAATTTTGAAAAATATTACGTTTTTTAGAAAATTTAATCAGGATCAATAATACCGACATTTGTTAACAATATACATGCAAACACGAGATTTCCAAATCAATAAAGCAATCAACTTGGGCAATAAAAATCTATCAGGTATTTGTTTTATTTTTATAATCCATTTGTGTTTGTTGTAGTTCGAATATGCGCGTTCGTGTGTACATACTTTTGTATACTCATAATTTTTATATTCAATTATGAATTTTTGAACAATTATGATCGTTTATATTTATAAATCCACCAACGAGTGTAATATTAACATGAAATTTTATCAAAATTATAAGTAAAGAAACGTAGTATTCTTTCTAGATGAACGATTAGCTTCTATTGTAGCATCAAATACAATGGTAATTTTTTGTTGTTTTAATTATTGTAAAATTATTAATATTTTTTCTAAAATAGGTACTTACATATAAGTTTCTTATTTAGATTTTCTTTTCAAATGCGCTGAACTGCTGCACCCGGTCCACAGACCCACTTGTTTGAAATTAGTACGCCTGCAATGCTACTAACCCAGCAACTGTTGGCAATACTGTCCGTTAAAAAGGGCAGTACTTCACTCGGTACCTGACGTATACAGAAAGTTCTTCCCATCGTGTAATCGATTTATATTAAACATGTAATTGCAGATAAGGTAAGACATACTGCAGAAAATGCACTCTATTATTCTCTTATGAAAGGTGATCGTAATTAATCAAAATTCTCTTGCAGGAAGAATAGGGTCACTCTATTTTAAGCGCATCCGGTGAAGGCATATTACCCCAAGGGGTGGGGTCTGCTGTCATTTAAAGCCAAAGAAATGAAAAAGCTATGGTGATCACGTAAGAGATATCACTGAATAATATAACAATGGCGCGACCTATTGTACCTAGTCAACAAAAGTTGGCTGAAAAGCTAACTATTTTAAATGACAGAGGTATTGGAATGTTAACCCGTATTTATAATATAAAGAAGGCATGCGGTGATGCGAAATCAAAGCCTGGTTTTCTGTCTGATAAAACTTTAGAGTCTTCTATAAAGACAATTGTCAAAAAGTTTCCTAATATTGACATTAAGGCGCTCCAAACAATTACAAATTTACGCAATGAGATTATCAAATCTCTGTCTCTATACTATTACACATTCGTCGATCTACTAGATTTCAAAGACAATGTTTGTGAACTTTTAACTACAATGGATGCTTGCGGTGTTCACATGGACATCACAATAAACTTCGATTTAACCAAAGGGTATTTAGACTTGGTTGTTACGTACGTGAGTTTGATGATACTTCTATCGCAAGTAGAAGATCGTAAAGCAGTTCTAGGGTTGTTTAATGCAGCCCACGAAATGGTTCATAGCCAATCCGATCCCAGTTTTCCTCGTCTGGGTCAAATGATCATGGATTACGATGCGCCGCTAAAGAAACTATCAGAAGAATTTGTTCCACATTCTAAATTATTGAAAAATGCCCTCACTTCGTTGTGGCCTATTTATCCAGGAAGAAACTTGTCTGCAGACACATGGAGAGCAGATAAAAAGCTAAGTCTGGTCGACAGTCCTGGAAAGATACTTAAAGCAGTGGCAACCGATACCATGTCTTGCGAAACTTTGAGCTTAGACAGAATAGAAAGATGGGTTATTTTAGGTTTCACGCTTTGTCACTCATTTTTAAGCCAAGAACAGCCTAGTAAACTCTGGACCACAGCTTTAGAGTCGGGTTGGGTTTTAGCCTTGTTCAGAGACGAAGTAATTTATATTCATCAATATATACAAGTATTTTTTGAAAGTATAAAAGGATATAGCAAGAGAGTATCCGAAGTGAAAGAATGCTATAATCAAGCTGTACAGACAGCTGGTTACAGACACAGAGAAAGAAGAAAATTTTTAAGAACAGCATTGAAAGACTTAGGGTTAATTTTAACCGACCAACCAGGTCTTTTAGGACCAAAGGCATTGTTGGTTTTAATGGGACTCTCTCACGCCAGAGACGAAGTTCTATGGCTTTTAAGACACGGCGTTAACCCTCCGACGCAAGGGAAAAGTAAAGGTAGAGGTGGAGAAGATTTAGTAGATCGTCAGTTGCCGGAATTGCTGTTTCACTGTGAAGAATTAAGAGCATTAGTAAAGAAATATTCTCAAGTACTGCAGAGGTACTACGTGCAATTTCTGTCGGGATTCGATGCTCCTGCTTTAGATCAAATGATTCAAAATCTTCCAGTGTGCCCCGAAGACGAAGGAGCAATTCTGAGCGACATGTGTTCGAAAATAGCTAGTCTAACTGTAAAACAAGTCGAGGATAACGAACTTTTCGACTTCCGCGCATTTCGTTTGGATTGGTTTAGATTACAAGCGTATATGTCTATTGCAAAGTGTAACATGAATCTTGCCGATAATAGAGAATTAGCGTCCTTTATGGACACGGTATTATTTCATACCAAAATGGTAGATAATTTGGATGAAATGTTGGTAGAAACATCCGACTTGTCTATCTTCTGTTTCTACAGTAAAGTATTCGAGGATCAATTTCACATGTGCTTAGAATTCCCCGCTCAAAACAGATACACCGTTGCATTTCCCTTAATATGCAGCCACTTCCAAAGCTGTACACACGAACTCTGTCCAGAAGAACGTCATCATATCCGTGAAAGAAGTCTTTCCGTCGTCAACATGTTTTTAGACGAAATGGCTAAAGAGGCAAAGAATATTATCACAGCAATTTGCGACGAACAATGTAACATGAGCGACAAGCTGTTACCAAAACATTGCGCTTTATTGATCTCGCAAGTGGTGAATCGTAAGAAGAAAGACAAGAATAAGAAAAACATGTACGAGATTCACAAACCGGGTATAGAAAGCTACAGAAAGACCAGGGAAGAGCTCACCACTATGGATAAGCTTCATATGGCATTAACGGAGTTATGCTACGCTATCAATTACTGCCCTACTATCAACGTATGGGAGTACACCTTTGCACCAAGAGAATATCTGCATCAGCATTTAGAATCAAGATTCGCCAGAGCACTTGTTGGCATGGTCATGTACAATCCAGATACTAGTGAAATCGCTAAGCCGTCGGAACTCTTCGTTAGCGTTAGATCTTACATGAACGTCCTTCAGACTGTTGAGAATTATGTACACATAGATATAACGCGTGTATTTAACAATGCTCTCCTCCAGCAAACGCAAGAATTAGACAGTCACGGTGATAAAACTATTGCTTCTCTGTACACGCAATGGTATTCCGATGTTTTGCTGAGAAGAGTCAGCGCCGGGAACATTTGTTACTCGGGCAATCAGAGAGCGTTCGTCAGCTTATCGGTGGAAGGCGCGATACCTTTCAACGCAGAGGAATTCTCCGATATCAATGAATTGAGAGCATTGGCCGAACTGATCGGACCGTACGGCATGAAGATGCTAAGCGAGAATTTAATGTGGCACATAGCGAGTCAAGTCCAGCAGCTGAAGAAGCTGGTCGCCGGCAACAAAGACGTTCTAATCGCTTTGAGAACAAACTTCGATAAGCCGGAAGTGATGAAGGAGCAGTTCAAGAGGCTGCAGCAAGTCGATAACGTACTACAACGAGTTACGATCATAGGTGTAATTCTGAGTTTCAGACAGTTAGCGCAATCTGCGCTGGTCGACGTCCTGGAAGAACGTATACCGTTCCTTTTGAGCTCGATCCTAGACTTCAGACATCATTTGCCTTCCGGCGATCCGATGCGTGTCGTCTCGGAAATGACGTCAGCGGCAGGTCTAACTTGCAAAGTCGACCCAACGTTGACTGCAGCACTTAGAAGTCAGAAATCCGAGGTAGATGAAGACGAGCATTTGCTCGTCTGTTTGCTGATGGTCTTTGTGGCGGTTTCGATTCCGAAATTAGCGCGAAACGAGAACTCGTTTTATCGCGCATCTCTCGAAGGACACTCGAATAATATACATTGTATGGCGACTGCTATAAACAACATTTTCGGTGCGTTATTCACTATCTGCGGTCAAAACGATATCGAGGATAGAATGAAAGAATTCCTTGCTCTAGCGTCATCTAGCTTGCTCAGATTAGGTCAAGAAGCCGACAAAGAGGCGATTAAAAACAGAGAATCGGTGTACTTACTGCTGGACCAAATTGTCCAGGAATCGCCATTCTTAACGATGGATTTATTAGAAAGTTGTTTCCCATATGCATTAATACGCAACGCGTATCACGACGTGTACAAGCTGGAACATTCACAGCCATAAACACATAGGTACACAATGTACTTTTAGCTTGCCACTCAGGGCTACTTTTTTACGTCCAGATTTATTGAATATTATTTAAAACACGGCATTTTTGTATAGATCAATATCCTTCTATTTCATATTTGATACCTGGCTTTGGATATACTATGACATAAGTACTATGCTTTGTTTATCAGTATTCCGTTGTATATCGTACTGGTACATAAAGGGATGTTTTATATTACATAGGCGAAGTGTAAAATGCTGTCTGTCTCAGAATCGAAACACGTATGTATCGTAAAATAGATATCACTCTATCCGCTACGTTTTTTCTAATGTACAATTGTAACTTTTACAATAGTTTATAAAATAAATAAAATTATCTACATTCTGTGTTTTCATTCAACTTTCAACTCGAACTAGCGAAATAAGATGTCTTAAGTTATTATTACCATTTTATTTCAAATTATCAGCATACATTTATTTTCTACAAACTATGGTTATATATGTTTTCTACAAATTATGGTTGGGCATAATTCTATAATATTGATTTTCAGTCACTTTTCAATCACCGAATTAATTAATAAGTTTGAGGCACGATATTAATCTTTACCAGATTTTACTGTAACGAAAAGTTGAGGGCATCTACATTTTAAATGTCATCATTTTTTGATTGTATAATATTGTAAGCGGCGTAGAGGTGAATTTAATGGCATTCATATAATATGACTTTGAACTTTGACTTTGTCCCTTGTTCATTAATATTCAAAAACCATACTTACGCTCTCTCATAATATGAGAATGTTCTTTGAAGTTGCTCCATCTTTAAAATTGTTGTTCAACTTCAAATATTCGAAATATTTGAATATTCCCAACAAGTTCAAAAAAAGAAAGTTCTGCTGCACTGTAATGATAAACTGATAAGATGTAAAGCGAACGAAACAGTCAGGTAAATGTAAAATGTATGCTTTATTTACTTCTTTATAATGTTTTTGTTTTTTCTCTTTAATCACATTAACATAACACAAGAGATTTACAATCATATTCCTTTTTATTTATAATATTCTTAAAACACTCGCCGCGTTCTAAACATTTGAGAAAAAGAGAGAGTGGTGGTCTGAAGCTACGTTCAGGCGATTGGTCAGTATCATGCTCACAATAAGATTTATATAAAAAATGAAACAATCAACCGAAACGCGCAGCTAGACAGTGTAGGTATGACGAAAAAAAAAAATATATATAGGAGAGAAAACTGATGAAGTAATACAGTAGAAAATATACAAACACTACGGCACATCGAATGTAAAAGTAATTCGGTAGTTCTGGTAATATTGAAGCAACACTTTACAAAAGAACGTACACGGTGTGTCGGATTGGAAACGAGAGTTAAACATATTTGTTGGCAGAATACGCACTGGGAAACGGGTAAGGGGAACTGAAATACGATGAAAACGATGTTAAACAATCTCAGATGCACGATGTTGATAGGTCACCACATTTTTGGATCGATAGAAAAAATATAATCTTCGATTTCTTTTTTGTTTCTTCCTCACTAACATTATGTACAAGTGATAAAGTAGTGTGTACCGCGTCACAGTGACGCGAGTCTGGATTAAGATAGGTACACAGAGAAGATGCTGATCGTTCGAACCTTCCAATGTTGTATCCCCATCGTCGAAATGCTCGTTTGTGTCTTCGCGGGATAGTACGTTTTATCACAAAAACTGTGCAGCGAAACGCACGCGCGACTGCGGATTAATATTAATTAGAACTCGATCTTAATCCAGACGGCGCGGAAACGAATAAGCTTAAGCATACGCAGTAGACTTCTCAGGATGATTTTTTTTTTTAAGGGGCGGCCAGGGGGTGGGGCAGGTGGGAGATGGGGGGAACAAATGATGAAGGAAAACGTACTTTTGTTTTTTAATCGTTATGATTCTCATACGAATAAGCGACGTTCTTCGTCAACTAGATACTACAACTTGGTCCCATTCCACGCTCGTCTTTAGGCTTTTCTTTCCTGCGTCCAAACGTTTTCGCTACCACCCTCTCGTTCTATTTCTGCACTGTCACGAGAACCTAATCGCGCATTCTACACCCCCTTTGATCGTATAAGTCAGTCGTTTGAAATGTAACTATGGCAGTGAAATGGAAGCAAGGATAATTCATTACGAACGATATTTGAAACGTCGACCAGCTTGTCCCGAGTAAGATCTACGGTTACCCTACGTCCCTATTGCTGTTCGAATGGCAGTGTCTCGGACGCAAAAATGATCGGTCAACAACATTGTCTGCTTTTTCCCCGTTTGCTTTTAAAAATACATACGCCGGCACCATCGTGTTGACACTCGACTCCCATCTCATCCCGCGAAAATGATCGCACGTTCCTCGCGAGCCACCGGTTTTCCCCATTGAACAACGAATCCGAGTCACCATCACGTTTTTACCATAATACGGGCGTTCGTAAATGATCACGTCGCGTTGGCGAACAATAATAACTCTAAAATACGAAATCCTTTGGCATATGAGCGAGTACACTTTTCGTCCCTCGCCGCACGCTATCACGAATGGCAGTAAATCACATTCATGCCGGTGAGAGGGCATGAATCGTTATCATCGAATCGATAGAGAAAAACCACGGAAATGAAGAACGGAGAACGGAACCAAAGCGACGATCGGACGAGCGATTGCGAATGGGACCAAACGGAATCCCGTTGCATCTATATGCAAGAAACTTCGAAACTTCTTATATAATCTACATCGAACGATCCGTCCCGGTCCACGCTGGATCGTCGTTAAAACTCGTCACCTTAAAAAGTTAAGTGCTCGATTACACGCACGTTACAGGCATTCATTTGTCACTCTTTTTAACTTCCGTCCCGATTACAAAATACAGAATAATATTTCGCTATAATACAGATCTGATATAAAAACAAGTATTTTTTTTGTATTCGCTTTACCATTCCTTATGGTTATATATTTACTGTTTTCCGATGATCACGCGTGTATAAGCGCGTGCACTATCTACAGGCGCACGCGCACATACACGCCCACTATCAGTATATGTACACAAGTTAACACTCTCTCTTTTATTCTTGCACGCCCGTCTTCTGTCCATGCCCTTCCCTTATCACGCCTTGCCTTTTTTTTGCTCTCCCGCTCTTTTGCACTTTCTCTCTCTCTCTCTCTCTCTCTCTCTCTCTCTCTCTTTCACTTTCTCTTTCTCTCTCTCTCTCTCTCTCTCACATATGATCTCACACGATCCGCTTTTTTTTTATAATCACATTGCGACTATTGTACATTTCCACACGACCCGCAAACTCGTATTTCTGCGATTTGGCAGACACGTATCCTTCTATTTTGTTTCTTCATCCCTGGAAACGTTCCTTCTGTCTCGCATGCCCATAGGTTTTTCGAAATCGTTACGTTTCTTTTGCGAATGGTGAACCCTAGTTGCCGTGACGTTGAACGGTATATGTACGTAAATGAAGCGGGAAACGCTTCGCGAAACATGGAAAGACAATAGACTGATCGTTGAAACGTAGTCGGTTTTTCTCCGGGGCCGGGGCTTGGAGGGGGAGCAGGGAATAAGTTGGCAAGCTTAGTATTATCAAAAAATCTTGGGAGGATAGAAGGGTTGAAACGCTGAGTCGCGAGCGAAATCATCGGTAAAATAGCTTAGGTTCGCGACGATAACGATTCGCAGCGTCTCCATAGGGTGCACAGCGAGTACACCCGATACTAAAATTCCGCGATTACAAAATCTCTCGGGTTGCAAGGCCGATTACGCTGAGCGACGGAATTGATTAGTATCGCTGTTCGTCTAATGAAAGATGAACAGCTGTTTAACTTTGAAGAATGAATTGAAGCACTATAAAGCACCCAATTCGATGGTCTGAGGTTGAAAGACTATCTGGGTAGTAGACTAGCGTGAGCTGGAGTCTACTGAAGTTGACTGACTAACCGAATAGTAGACTACCGTGAGCTGGAGTCTACTGAAGACAAGTATGTCTGAGAGGATTGGAGACAACTGATTCGAACGACAGGAGAGAAAACTGAATGACTAGTAGACTAGCGTGAGCCGGAGTCTACTGAAGTTAACTGAAGCAGAACTTGGTTGAAATGGACAGCGCGTGCCTGTTGAAACAAAGTCGCGGACTAGAGACCGAGCGAGAATGACTGAGTTTAACTGACACTGACTGACCGATGAGACGAATGAGACTCAAAGACGAATAGACGCAAAGAAGAATAAACAAGACTAGACTAAGAGAAGAATCAGTTTCGAATTTTTATACCGTTTAGTGGACAGAAAACTAGAAACTGATTGGCCAGTAACGCGATGGAAGGGGATGTAAAAGTGACGTAGCACGCAGATAGCAAGAAACCCCGGAGGGGCGACCAAAGCGGTGCGCGCTGACGACCCTGTTATCAAAAATGCTGCCGATGAGTTATTGCCGGAAAGAAGACGGCTCGGAAAAATCATAAACTTAGAAACATTGAATGACTATAATTTGTCTCGCTTAGCCGAAGGAAATTCCCCGTAAATAAACCGTTTTTTAGGGATTTAAGAAAATGTAATTCGTCCCGGAGAAATTTAGGCGGACGCAGCGCGAAAATTCCGTTGAAGGACGGAACAGTCTCCGATCATGTCTCAAAACTGTACTCGGACAGAGTTTGCTCAAGAAGGCTGCTCGACAAGGGACGAGTCGGAAAAAAGTAAAACAGGAAATTCAGTCGATCGTGTAAACATTTTGGCGTTTCGAAAAAGGGAAGTGAGTGTACACGTAATGTTATTTAAATATTCTGCGTAAGATCCGGCGCGAGTCGACGCGGCGCTCGAACGCGCACGAATTTTTCGTCCGATCGCATACGAGTATGCAGTTGTGCATGAATATGCTGCTTGAGCCCACGTATATTTAAAACATGTTTATATTTCAAGAGGAGGCCTCGTCTTTGGTCCGCCATGCGCGTATTTCATAAGCGCGTTTACGGTACAGCCCCCGATAATTGCAAGTTAAAAACCGTCTTTAAATATAACTTATAACATCTGCGATAGCGGAGATAAATTATCATCTGCAATAGATAACTAATCAATAATAGTAATAGTATTGATAATAATAATAATATTAATATTAATAATAGTAATAATAATAGTAATAGGCATAATTATAGTAATATCCGTATCTTTCGATATTAATTTGATAATTGTTAATGAAATATCGCTATCAAAAAATCTGCTTTTCATGCTGTTGCTTTTCCTCTCTATTCACCATAGTCTCTCGTAGCTTTGCTCGTTTCAATTAGCTAATAAAAATTAGTATAAGAATATTACGTATCATTAATCATTATGCTACAATGGTAGAGATCAAGTGAATGACCTGCAATAGTTTGGTAATGGTGGGCGCGCTTCTTCGCTCCGGAAAGCGGCAGCGTTGGTTGGAATACTTTTGAATCACAAACTTAGGGGGTAGGGTGTTCCTCTTAAACGCTACGTTTAAATATCCTAAACGAATTAAATACAGTTACATCGGAATAAACGTTCTAACGATTAAAATGTAAATGCTGATAAGAAAGAAAAAAAGGTTGCAGTATATAAAATCATCGCGGCCGTTCGACCGAAAATATACGTCGCGAACGCAACACGGCGCAGAATGAAAAATCGGTACGCGAGAGAAGTCGGAAGATGCAAGGTACATTCAGCGGGAGCTTCTCAAAAATTACGTTTATCGTTTCTAACACTTAATCCAAATATATATTGTCGTCTCCTGTCTCCCATTGAACACCCTCTCGTCTTCTGGCAAAACACAATCTCCACCGAGAAACCGGTCAAAAAGATAAAACTCGCGCTTTCGGGAGCGAAACGTGCGCGCGACTCGACTTCGCCCAGAAATCGACGCATCAACGCCACTATGCAATCTCGGCCATTAAAAATGTTCTTACATCGAACGGCAAAAATACGCTACCGTAATCTACAATCGTTTTGCTGTGCGAATCCAGCGTTGTTCGTCCGAATATCTTTGATCGATACGGCATCGCGTCCAACAGATTTGTCGCGCGCGATACAGAGAAGTCTTTCTCGAGCTCTACCTTCGTCGCCTTGCTCTCGATGATCACGACGCGAATACATAATGGCAACACGCGGAGGAATATGCGAGAAACATTCAAAAGACAAATTACATAAAAGTCCGTACGATAATATAGATTACTAAGGATCCGTATGTTTTACGATCTATTACGTCCAACGCTGTCTGTCGTTCCTTCATCCCTTCTTCCGTTTCGTTCATTCCCCGCAATACGTCGATGCTCCCTGAATCCGATAAAACCGAGCATCGACAGAAACAGTGGGATCTGTATCACGCCATTGATTTCTAGCACGCGTCGCCGATTTACAATTCCGAAACCGGAGCCCTAATCGTCGCCGAATGCTTTTTGTAAAACGAAATAAAAACGTACATCGACGATCCTCGGTACTTTCGAATGCACTCTCGGTTACGCTATCCCTCTGTTTTCGTTCGTCCTTCGTTACGCAAGACGTCGTGTGTCAGGTGGATCGGCTCGTTTTTTTTTTTGTTTTTCACAGTTTGGCATTGTGTTGTGTATAGAACAAGATTTACGGCGCGACGTCAGGATTATTCCTCGGCCAAAGTAGCTCCCTGGGCCCGTCACACCTTGTTGTGATGCCTCATCTCGTAGGCTGCGGCCCTACCCCCTCCACCGGAGCCCGAGTAGGCCCCGGCGTACAGTTCTGGGTGATTGGAACGGCCGTAGTTGGGTGCTGCACTGCTACTGGCTGGCGCACTAGCTGTGGGAACCGAGCGATAGCCTGCTTAAAGTTTAGAAAAGTATGCAACTATGAAACGAAATGCCGAAGCGAACGTAACAACGGAGTTTTATTAGGCTGCGTTTTATCGCCAGCCACACACATCCACATGATAGGAACAGCGGAAATTATGATAATGAATCATTACGCCTGCCAGAAAGTGTTTCAGCGAAATTGATGGGTTACTAACAATCTTAGCACAGTCGGTTAAAAGGTCTCCGTGGATACTCCTTCACATTTATCTATTTATTAAGATGTCTCAAAGTCTAACATTGCAGTCAATAATTAATATCTAATATGAAGAATCAAAATGACCACCAATGGACATGCTCAAGTGTTATTATTTACCATGTTTTAATGCAATATTGAGACTTTTAGCGATGTGTTTATTTGACAGTACTGGTTAGATCCGATTATAGACTGCAGGTCTTTGTACAAAATAAAAATTGTCAGTCTAGTTACGATATAAAAACATAAACTTTGATTTGCTTGAATGAAAAAGTTAGAAAAGGAGATCTTGATTATCTCTCGGACAATTTATACATTTTTTATATACACATCATACAGAGTAAACTAATTCTTCTGAAACTTCCAAAAGTTAACATTAAACAAGTTATTTTGTTTCAATTGGTGTACAGAGACTTTTTTTATTGACTGTACGGATTAACACACTTCGACCATCATTCATCCAAAACACTACTATCAAACCTGTTCGTATAATTGCATGAATACAGCGCTGAGTAAAATGTTGCTTTAAATAATAAACATTAAATAATTTATTTTACTGTACGTTCTTCATATTCTAAAAATAAAATTTGTTGCTATAAATTTTTGACGCAGTTTTTCAAATATTTTATTTGAAAAATATGAAAATATTAATGACACTTTCTTTGAGATGTTGTTAGATATCTGAAACTTAAACAATATATAATTTTATAATTAAATGATCGTGCTTGTTGCACTTTAAGTTTCAGATTATTGAAAAAGAAGTATTTTATTTTTTTAAATTACATCTCTATTCAAAATGTAGTTAAATAATACTTGACATACGTTTTCATAAATCTCACTCGGCTGTGTATGCATACACTCTACAGATACATTTGTAAATAATTGAAACACTTTGAAGGAGTGTATAAGAAAAAGGAGGGAGGAATGCAAGAACAGTCGAAATGCATTAATAAACGAATTAATAAAAACATTTTTCTACGTTTAACACGTAAATAATTTAAATTACGGGTGCTTAGTTTGTTTAAGTAAATACTTTCTGTCAAGGGTAGTAACTAGCCATGCATTTAAAGGTTTTATGTATTATCGTACAATAGGTGCGATAATTTTCTTTATTATTTAAAAAATAACTAATCACGGATCAGTAATCAATTAATATAATGTTCGGTTTTTTAGTATAATTTAAATATTCTTATAAAATTCGATAGCACCAACTGATCATTTTATCCTACTCGATTAAAATAGGCATAGTTTTTCAAATAAATCCATTTTTATAATTTTTCTCTATTTGTCCTACTATATCCAGTTTATTTTAATTGAAGGTTCAATTTAATCGTATTCATACATCAATTATTAGCATTCGAGGACTATGCAGTATTTCCTTTCCCACCAAGAATTTAATGAAATGCACGTAATGCAGAAGCAGAAGAAACTCTATGTCAACAAAAACAAAAATAAAATGGAAATATCAACGGTGGCGAAAGAATCAGGAGCAAATACAAGGAATTGCGAATACAACTTATTCATCGTAAGATTTGTCGATGGAAATCTTAAGTCTAAAATTTCTTGGAACTCGCCATGGGTTTTCGCAAAATTACTTTGAAATTCTATTGTATTCTTGAATTTGCTCCTATTAAAGCTATAGAATATAGGCCCCAGCTCACCTCTGTAGGTCATAGAACGATAGTATCAGGTAGTGATGCGCGTCAATCAATGCGAGGGTGATGCAAACAGGAAAAAACATTGATGTAGTTGCGGATCACAGAGGGACAAATATCAGGTCGTTCCATAAATAACGTTTTCATGTGCAACATTCAAAAAAACAGAAAATATCGCGTAATGAATCATGTTATTACTGGAGCGAGTAATCATTTTCAGTGACAGTTACGTGACGGTATATGGCAGTCGCATGCCCTAACAATACCACAATTCATTGCGCTAACTGGTACGTTCGATAATCAATAATATACCGATACTCGTTTGAAACATTTTCTCTTTTGCAAAGCAATTACACTTTTTATTTACAACATCGAGTAACCTTATATTGCATTAAAATGTTACCTGAAATATTTTCCACAAATTTACAACGAGATAAGTGTTCAAAAATATGTAAATTTCAAATGTTCGTATAATACAAGTTTTATAATTCTACGTCCTGAAATAATTTTTTTTTTAGAGTAATTCGCTTTCTAGGTACTACAGTTATGATTTAGAATAATCACTTTATGATAATTTTTATAACAAAAACAGTTGTAGAAATAGACAACTCTAATTCAGAAATTATAAAGTAACATTATAGCTTTGAATATCGAGAAGTGTAGACAATATCCGATAAGACTGAAGTGAGATGAAAGACTAGACAGAACTAGTTTACATAGCGAACATAAACTGCTGAATGAACAAATATTTCCCGGCAATATACAGACAATAAAAAGAAGTAATTCACGTAAGCACGACAAGAAGCCGCATTACTCATGAAATGACCTGACACACAACAGCGAGCTACTTAGCTTGAGTTTAATCCGTGTGTTACGAGCTAATATGCAAACATCCAGTATGCATTTTAACGAGCAATAATTACTAAGATCAAACTCGAGCAACGATAGCTGCGACAAAAAGGCAACAGAGATTTCACGCGAGCCTACCTTTTGGATAATACTGTGCACCTCTGCCCTCTCCATAACCGTGAGAGGGTCCTCGAGTTCCACTGTGGGCCCCTTGACTTTGCCTGGGAGGTATACTTCTCGGACCAGCACCTCCTCCACCGTGTGGATGTCGCTGCGGAGAGATGAATGCATCAATTTTACGAACGTTTAAAACTAAAGGATTTTTCAGTAGGGGCGCTACACTTTTTAATTGTGCTTGTGTGCATGCGTTTGACATTTTTTTTTCTAGTTCTTATCAGATTTTTATTTGTTACGTATTTGGTGGACATTTGAACGATGCGTTGCATCATTAATGGCATTAAATATAATTGAAACCGATGCAAATAAATCATTGGCATCTCACGTCCTTTTGGTTTTATTTAACAAAATTTTTGTAGCGTTCGTAATGAAAAACTTTATAGATCCAGGCAATTATGTTGCGTAACATTGTCAAATTACCATTCTTCTCAGAGTATTCATCGGCCTTCTCAGAGTGTCGCTGATGCGTCTCGCTGGTGGCTTCTTCGGATTACTGGATGGAGTGTGAACAGCACAACACTTGATGAACAAGCCCATGAAAATGATGAAACCTATGCCCATCAGCAATACTGCCCACCAGAATTGCTGAGAATTTAACAATTCCAATTAATCTGCCACGGTTACCATCAGGAGGATCAGAATTATACTTACAGTCACCCATTGCGCTACCGTACGCAAAGTATCTTCATTCAATAGAAGATTCTTCAATCTAGCTAACGGTCCTTCTGCGTCGACTGCTCTACACTTCAGAAAGACGTCGCAATAACCCTACAGAGAAATATAAATTGATTGATGCTGCAGGAATTTTTTCAGCGATTTATCAGAGATTCGATATGATTTTTAGTGATTCGATGGCTACCTGGAAGTTGTCGCAGGGCGATCCAGGTCGAAGACTGATTCCGCCGTCCGGCAAACCGACGACATGCGCGAACTCGCTGGTGCTGCGGCAAGTGGCCGGATCGGTTCCATTTTGGCAAGCTAATTCACACAGTTTACGTTTGTCGATGTTCGGGATCACGTTACTCGTTAAGAAGCACTCGGTTAGGTTCCACTCCAGGCAAATTGATCCCGTGCAATCGCCATTGATGCATAACTGTCAATTAAAATCGAATGCTGTTACTGAAATATTGAAACTATTTTCTAAATTCTTAACACTAAATCCATGGAGCCCTAAAAGTAAACAATGTATATTGCTGTCTAGTGAAAAGTCAGTGTATTTATCTACACCTTTCGTTATTTCTGTTGTAATGATTAAGACATTTTTATTCAAACATTTTCCATAACAGTTTTTTTTATAATTCCCACAATTTTAGAATAAAAAATGTGAATTCTATTGCAACGTATCTATACAGTTTTCTTCGGGCTGCAGTATTTTCACATTCTCATCAAAACTAGAACATTAAATTTGTATTTCTTCTTTTACATATATAGTTAGAATATTATTTTTACTTTAAGATATTCTCCGAAATTCTCTGCAACTGAGAAATAATCTATGAATATATTTCTGGTTATACGTTGGATTAAACTCGTTAAATATTCTTGAATCGAATTTTCTATTTGAATAACAACAGGTTTAGACTGATTATGAATCATTGAAATAACGAAAGAATTCTTCTCCGTGTGTTTGGGATTGGAATTGGTGACTGACGTTTTATACATATACAGTCGTGTCTAGGTTTTTCCTGTGCAATATAAATTGGAGATCTTGGAAACTGCCCTTACCTGTGTTCCTTCGTTACATCTAGTTTTATTGGCTCTCGGTAACGGCGCAGGGCATTCGGAGGACCTCCCATTGCAAGTCGAATTGTAACTGCAGTCGGATTCGGCCTTGCACTGAACGTTCCTGGATAGTGGCACGAATTGGCATGATTCGCTCGAACAACAGGGTCCTTGGCTAGGACTATAACAAGATTATAAAAACAGTTTATTACTATATTATTCACTGGAAACTTTAGGATCGTAATCTCCAGAGCAAAACAATTCTATTTGAAAGTTCTTTAAATATTGAATTACATCGAATTAAATATACAATATTTTGCAGTATCCCGGGATTAAATTACCGTTTAACTTGTTAATGCAAATTTTATTTTGCATTATTCCATGTATATACTTCTTGATAAATAGCGTGTAAAAAATTTTATACACGAATACGATAAATACTAAAATGATTTAACGTTTAATGCAAATTAGGGGCAATCATGCATGCAGAGTATTAGAAAACTCCTTTTGTATTCGCACATAAATTAAGAAAAGATCGCGTTTGTTAGCGCCAAGAATTTTTGTCAAGCAAACGTTTTCAAGTAAAAATATTCGATTTTAATTCATGTAATTCATTATTTTACGATATCATTAGTGTAGATTATAATAGATGGCTCGTCTACGTATTCGACGATGTAATACGAGCCATAATATTTAATTTCAACGGATAAAGTTATTCGAGCGAAGTTCCCTAAATGCCCCGAATTTAAAATGAACGATGTGATATTAAAAACAGGCTATATTTAGCAACACGTTATTACTGCGGACCTTTATGCAAAATCAAAATTTCCAAATTAATTGAAAATATACTCCTTCTCTTCGCAATTTTTTCAAATAAAAAATAATATAATATTCTTTCTGTCGTAAATGTAAAAAATTCATAGTCGAGTGATTGCATTGAAAATCATACCTGCATTGTGTGCCGGCCTTCCGATTGCAACCTTTGGCAGTTTTGTTCGTTATTTTATCCAACTCAGACACCTGCCTTGGGTAACAACACTTATCCACGCATTCATCATCGTCGTACCCGCAGTCGCATTCTTCCCCGGCCTCAACAATCTTGTTGCCGCAGAATGCCCCAGCAGACGCTGCATAAAACACAAACCCAAAATAGCATTTTTCTCGTAGCAATCAGCTGGTTTACGGCGCAATTCTTTCTTCCTTGCTTTTCGGACATTTTCCTCGACATAATTTATGCTAGTTTATCATGTTTACCTACTTTTTCTTAATACTAGATTTACCGACAAAATACGTGCTCCAAATTATTCAATTTATGATTATTGCAATCAGAAAATATATTTAGAGGGAATTTATTCAATAAATTTATTTCATTGGACATATATTATGATAAAAATCGCTAAAACTCTAAATAAATTAATGCTTGTTACTTTAAGGAAGCAACATAAAATAAATTAAAAGCATCTGCGCAATATAATTTTAATCTAGATATGCAATAAAAAAATATTTTTATACATAAATATTGTTAAAAAATGCAATGCACGAATAAGTTGATGAACACGAAAATTAAAAGTCGTTAGAATACTGTCTTTACAATAGTTGTATCGAGACGCTGATCTTTACATATACAAAATTATTCAGTGATCGGGTCCAAAACTCGTTTTTAAATAATGTTAGTACTGAAAATTTCCAACTGTTCTTGATCGAAGAAGAAGAACTGATACAAATAAAAAATGAAAGAACTATGAAATTATATTTTCATGCGTTTTGGATAAAAAGATCTTAATAACATAGTTTAAAAATAACTAACTATACAGGTGTTATTACCTTTCTGTACATCCTACTTGTCTGAGTGGGGATATTCAAGTATGAATGAAGTTAAAAAAAAGACCGAGAGACTATTCTCTTTGAAAGAAGCGCCCTTAGAGTGGACTTAGAGTGGCCTTATCTAATATTCGTCCACGAATAAAGCAATTATGTGAGCAAGTAAATATAATAAAAATTTTCATCTTCACCTTGTGACGTGCAGCGAAAACCCAACTTGTGGTTCTAAAGTGTAACGCGAACTCGAGAAGGTTGGGAAAGAGTCTAACATCGAAGAACTTCGAATCAGTAGTAGGACAAGAAGCGTGGTACACAATAGTCGCAGTAGAAACCATAAATCCCCAAAACTTCGAGAGAAATGTACGTACCGGTAAAGCAATTTTTCTTCTTGTCTTCGATGGCGTCCAGGACGTTGCTGATATTCCCGATGCTGCATTTCGAAAATTTGCTGTTGTTCGGTCGATCGCCGCTCGTCGCTGACGCGAACATGATGTAATTCCCGTGCAGGCCACCGGGTCTGCACTCCGGCGGAAAGTCATGCTACAAACACAACCGCGGAAGAGCATTAAATCGACTGAAGCTAAAACAGAATCGGCTAAAGAAAAATCAACTCGTACAGGTGACCCGAAATTGTGTCCGATCTCGTGGGCCAGCGTCAGCTGCGAGACCTTGGGCGGCACTCTGCTGTTGTAATTCACGAACGTGATGATCCCGGTGTTCAAGGACCTTTTCGTCGACTGATACATGCCGCCCACAGTTTCCGTGTAGGTTTTGAATTGCTCGCATATGCCCCCGGACGCGCCGGAAGCCGAAGCGACCCATGCGAGCCCGAGCGTGCCGCCAGTGAAATCTCTGCGAACGATAAGGTCGCGCGAATGATTATTCTCGGTTCCATATTTATTTCAAGGCCGCAAGTGTCGGTGCACAGTGGTCCCCAAAAAGATGGCCAAAATGCAATCTTTCAAGTTTAGTACATACAATGTAGTATACATAGAACGTCGAATGCCGTTCGAAATTTTCAAGTAACGCGTCTGGTTGACGAGTTCACACGATTCACAATGTCTTGAAGACGATGACATTTATAACGTGTCAAGCAAAAGTTAGTGTCCCCGGTTAGTCCTACGCCTATGTAATTTCACAAATTCCCGGAAGACAATACAAAGTGGTTTGTTTGGATGTCAGCCAGGTAAGAAAAAGCGCGGAGCTACAAGGTACGTGACCAATTTCCGTTGAATCGTGGCATGTGGCCTCCGAATTGCCTTCGAATCGTATCATGTGGCCTCCGAATTGCCTTCGAATCGTGGTAAAAAATTAGAAATAAAATCGTTAAGTCAACGTTTTTATCCTAGCATTACTATCTATGAAAATTAATCTACACCGCCATGCTGGCCGCTGCCTTTTTTGTCGGCTGCCCCGAATTTCTATAAAAACGAGCAGCGAGGCTCGAAGAATCACGACTTAGTATTCTGAGATCTGCCGGTTTCAATTCCGACCCGCGAACATTTCTGGGAGAAATTACTGCATTTGTAGAACACTTTTACTAGACTGCGGATTTTTATGCAAAATAAAACTTGTCTTCATAAATTGCAACGAAGACAAGTCAAATAAAAGTTTCTTCCTTTCTGTAATAATTTCAACGAGTTAAAAATAATATACATAGATGTCCTTAAAGTCTATTACAATACATGTTAGAAACACGAACTCTGCACATCGGTGACACAAAGTATTTTTGAATTAGGTTATGCTAGTCATCGAAAGACCTGTTCGAACATGATTTATGGTTTAAAGTAAGATATCAACTGTGATACCCAATCGAAAAATTTGGTCCGTTTTTGCCCATTTTTCAAGTATTCAAGTTTCAGATGTTAAGTAGTGCCTATCAACGTTTTCCGCGAACGATACTGAGGACGTCGTTCACTTTAGTATTTAATACTATATATTGCTGATTGCTATTATTAAAAACCGAACAAGCAACGTATTAAGCATAACAAATTTCCCTTGCGAGTCAATAAATAGCAAAAAGAATAAAGTACGTTCAGTTGTATAATTATAGCAAAAGAAGCGGAAAGTTATTGATCTGCACAAAAAATAAGTTAAAAACACTGCTCATATCAGCGGCGTCTGATTTTGAATTTTGCATGTTTGAGAAGATATTCAAATTCGGCAAGCTCAAGAACATAAGGGAGCCGATTTTCGTAAACATCGTTATGAAGTTATGAATTCTGGCAAACTTTTTGGGAAAAAATATGACTGTGCGGCGTTACCTGTAGGTGAACACGTAAGCGAGGCAGAAGTCCTGATGGTTGCCGAGCGAGTGCAAGTTTAAAAAGTTACTGACGTCGATGTTCTCCATGCAGAAGGGGTTCGGCTCGCCGTATGTCTGCTGGGGCGTACACGCCGTGTCGTCGTCGATCTATCAGACAGAACGATCAGATGTAACGATCCACGCTCCTGGTTATCGCTGGAATTATGGTCTGTTCCTTGACNAGCCGAAGCGACCCATGCGAGCCCGAGCGTGCCGCCAGTGAAATCTCTGCGAACGATAAGGTCGCGCGAATGATTATTCTCGGTTCCATATTTATTTCAAGGCCGCAAGTGTCGGTGCACAGTGGTCCCCAAAAAGATGGCCAAAATGCAATCTTTCAAGTTTAGTACATACAATGTAGTATACATAGAACGTCGAATGCCGTTCGAAATTTTCAAGTAACGCGTCTGGTTGACGAGTTCACACGATTCACAATGTCTTGAAGACGATGACATTTATAACGTGTCAAGCAAAAGTTAGTGTCCCCGGTTAGTCCTACGCCTATGTAATTTCACAAATTCCCGGAAGACAATACAAAGTGGTTTGTTTGGATGTCAGCCAGGTAAGAAAAAGCGCGGAGCTACAAGGTACGTGACCAATTTCCGTTGAATCGTGGCATGTGGCCTCCGAATTGCCTTCGAATCGTATCATGTGGCCTCCGAATTGCCTTCGAATCGTGGTAAAAAATTAGAAATAAAATCGTTAAGTCAACGTTTTTATCCTAGCATTACTATCTATGAAAATTAATCTACACCGCCATGCTGGCCGCTGCCTTTTTTGTCGGCTGCCCCGAATTTCTATAAAAACGAGCAGCGAGGCTCGAAGAATCACGACTTAGTATTCTGAGATCTGCCGGTTTCAATTCCGACCCGCGAACATTTCTGGGAGAAATTACTGCATTTGTAGAACACTTTTACTAGACTGCGGATTTTTATGCAAAATAAAACTTGTCTTCATAAATTGCAACGAAGACAAGTCAAATAAAAGTTTCTTCCTTTCTGTAATAATTTCAACGAGTTAAAAATAATATACATAGATGTCCTTAAAGTCTATTACAATACATGTTAGAAACACGAACTCTGCACATCGGTGACACAAAGTATTTTTGAATTAGGTTATGCTAGTCATCGAAAGACCTGTTCGAACATGATTTATGGTTTAAAGTAAGATATCAACTGTGATACCCAATCGAAAAATTTGGTCCGTTTTTGCCCATTTTTCAAGTATTCAAGTTTCAGATGTTAAGTAGTGCCTATCAACGTTTTCCGCGAACGATACTGAGGACGTCGTTCACTTTAGTATTTAATACTATATATTGCTGATTGCTATTATTAAAAACCGAACAAGCAACGTATTAAGCATAACAAATTTCCCTTGCGAGTCAATAAATAGCAAAAAGAATAAAGTACGTTCAGTTGTATAATTATAGCAAAAGAAGCGGAAAGTTATTGATCTGCACAAAAAATAAGTTAAAAACACTGCTCATATCAGCGGCGTCTGATTTTGAATTTTGCATGTTTGAGAAGATATTCAAATTCGGCAAGCTCAAGAACATAAGGGAGCCGATTTTCGTAAACATCGTTATGAAGTTATGAATTCTGGCAAACTTTTTGGGAAAAAATATGACTGTGCGGCGTTACCTGTAGGTGAACACGTAAGCGAGGCAGAAGTCCTGATGGTTGCCGAGCGAGTGCAAGTTTAAAAAGTTACTGACGTCGATGTTCTCCATGCAGAAGGGGTTCGGCTCGCCGTATGTCTGCTGGGGCGTACACGCCGTGTCGTCGTCGATCTATCAGACAGAACGATCAGATGTAACGATCCACGCTCCTGGTTATCGCTGGAATTATGGTCTGTTCCTTGACAGAAGGGACCCAAGCTGCGCGTTGGGGCTCGCGATAGCTGTTCACTTCGGACAACTCGAATGCCATCGGTAGAATGAAGATGATCTTTATGCAAATCTAAGTGGCTGACAGGCATTTGGAGAAATTGCGGATGAAGACAAATTTTCGTGTCTTATTAAACAACGTTTATCGTTTGCACAAGCTTCGGAAAGGTACACATTTTATGGGGACTCATCTCTTACCTTATCTCTTTTAAGTTCTAGGATAAATCCTTTAATTTCTATTCTAATAATTTTAATATTCTATAATAAATTATAATACATTAATATATTATATGAATATATTAATATTCCATAATATTATTGTACAAAATTTATTAACGATTCTTGAATTTATTGGAATTAATTCTTTTTTCTTGAAGTTTCAATTATTCAATCTTGTGTATTCGCAATTTTCGGATTATTATATTATAATGAAACATATTAATTATGACAAACTCAAATCATCCTTTTCGTTCAGTAATTCTTAGACTATGACCAATAATTTTATCTTTTCATATTATAAACTAATTATTAAGAACAATTGCTTAAATTTACTCTTCTAATATATACATACATACTTTTATTTAATTGTATTACACTACTAATTTCAGTTTTAATGTAGTTCTAAATGTTACTGGAACGATAATAGATATGTTGCTAGGATGATAACAGAAATGTTTTTGGCTATACATATTTGCTGATACTATTACACAATATTTTATGAGAACCTGTACACTTCGCAAACAGAAGACAAGGGGTTGACCCGTTTTAATGCCCTCTTGTAAGCGATATAATTCTTGTCAGGTATTATAGAGTTCACATTTTTTTTTGAACGAGGCTTAGAATCGTATCGACTTCGAGGTCATTAGCGACATGGTGGGTTTTCTCTTTATATTTTGTCACATGTTGGGTTTCTTGTAGATAGCTGACACTATTATTTCGATGCTTCAGAGAAGTCACACACACAAAGCGGTGTTTGGATTTAATCCGTATTTGTTTCTTTGGTTCTGGTATTTTCTGCACTCATGTAACAAGTGTGTTGGATGGTTATTTATTAGTTGCAGATGTTACAGTAAAGTGGTTCTGTTTTGGCTAGGTGTTCATGCGTGAGTCCGAAATGTCCAATTCGAAGTTTGTTCATGGTTATCTTTTCTTCCCTGTTCATACTTACATTACGCGCATTACTTGACAGAAATTTTATACTATTTTGGTCCTGTTGGTCATAGTCCATATTCTGTTCCATTCTTCTTTTTCAAATTTAAGAATTGAAATTAGTAGTGGGATTGGGGTGCTGATTTCTGTTGTTCGAACTTTTGTTGCTACTTTTGCTAATGTGTCAGCTTTCATTTCCTTCTACTCCTCGATGCGAGGGAATTCAGGTAATTATTACTTATTTTTGGTCGTTGGTGGGTTCCGTGGTTTCTTGGATAATTTGTGTGACTTCGTGTTTTTTTTGTGCTATTCGTGTCTGTTATAGCGTTAACCGAGGACATAGAGTCTGTGCAGATTACCGACAGTTGATGATTATTCTTTTGTGCGTACCTTATGGCTTCTAGAATTGCACAAGATGTAATTACCCAAGCATGTAAGTGAAAGCTGGAATGCATTGATATTGATAAATTCCTTCAATCTATTCACTGTTTAAGATTTCATTTATTTTCTTTTTCGTTACAAATACGTAAGAACTGCGGTCCAACAATTATTAATTTTCTAACGTTTGTTCATTGCACAGAATCTAATTAAATACTGTTGACCGCATGCGGATTGATCTCTTTAGTCTGAACAAAAAACGTATACGTGTTATTCGTATAGAAAATATTTGTGCAGTACAAATACAACTAGAAAAAAATTGCTCGTATCTGCACGAGAAAATAAATGAAACTTTTGACTTTCAGTTTGAGAACATTCAATTCGAGTTTTAGTCAGATACTCGTGTTATTCGACAGGTAGCGGTGCAAAAGTCTGTTCATTATTTAGCTTTTTAACTTGTAAATACGAATGCCTGTGCAACGAGCAAATATTCGCAACTGTTTTATTTGGGAACGTAGTTTCATTAGTTGCTAACTTTTTCATGCAGGAATACCTCTTTCTGGCATGTACCACCAGTTCGAGGATAGTATGATTGACGCGGTAATCGAAGCGTTAAAATTGATCAAACTTTCGACTACATGAATTTAAAAAGAACCTCTTCAGTCTCGTTACCGATCCAAGCAGAATAGGGCAAAATTGGCAGTTACCTTAAAGTTTATGATAGATTCAGCAACGAACAAAGTGTTCCAATGATTTCAGAGACATTTTAGTTCGTAGCATTTTCGAGAAAAAAACGTGTCATCCGCTTTCCATTTGCCAGATCATCTTTTAATTCCCAACTTTGATTCGAGTACATCGTGATTCGTAAATTAGCGTAATCGAATTATGTACTTCTGTAATTGTGCTCCAATAGCAATTACGATTTACATTGCAATTCAATTGAACAGAGATCTGAATTACGAATCGCAATGTGATCGAATCATAATGTAATCGAGTTACTTCGCAATTATAGTACCATGAGTAATTCAATTTTAATCGTGCACGATTCCGCTAACGATACACTTCAGATCCCGCCTCGAAAGCCAGACGACGGCCAATCAGAATTCACTCACCTTTATCCGCTGCACCTCGAATTTGATATTCCTATGCTTGATCCTGCCGTCGAACCTGGTGTCCCTGTATATGTAGTTAACGGCGGTGACGTGGTGCGCGATGAGCGACAGTATCTCTTCTTTGGTTTTCTCGACGTCGTGTTGTAACTGCGAAACGTCGGTGGTGGGAAATTCAATATCCGCGAATTTCACGTGTTTCGGAACGGTTTATATGGGAACGAGATTTTTATAACGGCCGCGGGAAAGAATGCCCGGGCGAAAAAGAATGCGGAGATGGAAATATTCTTCTAACGCAAGGACACCGGGAATGCGGGGACGTCTAGTTTCGAGGAAAATACGAAATGAAATTACGCCGGCCCCTATTACCGAGGCAAAGCTGTGTGAATGTGACTACAACGGCAGAATGGCTGGTATTCAGAGCATTCGGTGGATTGCGCAAGGAATTATTACGTTTTCGAGTGAAATTTTATAGCGGAAAAGAAATGGGTCAGTTGTTATCGTTTCTGAAAGGCACCGGCGTGTTCTCCGCTTTGAGAAGGAGCCGAGCGCGCGCGCGCTCGCTCGCTCGCTCGCGTTTCTCTGTCAAATGCATCCGGCCAGGCTTTATTTGGCTTACCTGTTCGGATATGTGCCGCCATATAAGAGGATCAGTCTGAATAAAAAGGGAGCAAGTGTTATTGTAGTCCTCCTTCGGCCTGGCTGCTCTTCGCGCCCTTCGATGACTAGGTTCGTTAGCTTCCCGGGAGTATTTATGACCAGGTGATTCCTGATTGGCGTTCCACGAATCTCCGGATGGTTTCGGCCCCTTCACGTTTGCGGCCGGCCTCGGAGGAGGAGGAGGTGGAACGTCCGGCTCGCCAGAATTTTGAATTCTCTCCATCCACTCCACCACGTCGTCGGTGACCCCGCAACCACCGTGCTCGCCTACGGCCAACACGAAACGTTATCGCTATAAAATTATGTGAGACAATAAAACGCCAGACGATCGTTACGCTTTTATTGTGCCGGCTAGAATATCACCCTAAATCGTCCAATATAGACCGGACGGACGCGAACGGCGCTCGAAAGCCTGCGTTGATAAAGTTCGGTTTCCAATCTATTGTTATTCGATTGCGAACTTTTCTGCAAAATTATGATTATCTGCATCAGTTGCAAGAAACAGGAACTAAATACAAGTCCTTTCTTTCTGTAATCAGTTGTACGAATTCGAAATAACACATTAATATTTTTCGTTCTTTCAACCTCGTTACTATCTCGAATTGCAACTATCCAATTTTGCCAAAAACGCACGAAATCCGCGGTCTAATTGTTACATTTCTCTGCTGGCTGAACGGAAACACACGTTTGATCTTTTTCAAATTTTACTCTCAAAGTTTATCGATTTTTAGATCGTTACATTTCCACCAGAATTTTTTGAAACTTTTTAAATAATGATAATAATCTATTTACGCGTAGCATAAATAAAGATAATGCGAGGGGATGTGTTTACTGTTTATCCTTGCTGTAACGTTATTGTTGCTGCTGGCACTCACGGATCGTGGTTTATCAAGCGTAACCGCGATCATCGAAGCGTCAACCATCAAGGTTCCACTTATTGCTTGGTTGTAAACGCATTATGTTATAATTAAACTGTGGATTTTATGCACTTATAGCAAAAATCGGTAAGTACAATACACAACGAATTTAAGAATGTTCATACATTATTTTCAACTTTTTAATACCATTAGAAGAAAAAATATACATTTATTTGACTCCTGTTTTGTAAAATTTGGGCACAAAATTTCTATTTTGCATAAATATCCGCGGTCTAGCTATCACAATTGTCAACTTTGCCTTGTAATGCATTTGGAATACAAAGAAATTTCATTCTTATTTTTTCTTCCTACATGAATAATAACGTTTTGTCTATTATTTGTCATACTTCATGTTCCTAAAACTGTTTTAAATGTAAAACAGTTTTAACAAAGGAAATGCAAACTACATTTAAAAATAATTAATTATTCACTTTCTACACGAAGCACGTCAATATTTTAATGATTTTCCCATGAATTCTTTAGTTTGTAACTAATTAAAAATTATTGGTAGAGAGAGAAAACGTGTTCTGTTAAGAATTGTTCTTTGATCACCGCGTTCAAGGAAATCAATGTAGAATAAAACGCTGCAAAAGAAGTCAATAAACTTCTTTCTGTAGAGAAAACTCGAGCAAATGAATTTTTCTGATGCAGTCAAAGAGCATTGCAAGCGTTCTGGATTGCACACACCGCCGTTCGAAAATATTTATCACCTGTATGATCAAAAGCGAACTCGGAAACAATGCAGTTGAAGTCTTAACTTTCATATAATTAAAGTTAAAAAGTGGTAACAGTTCCAAAACAGTGGACAGCAACGACTTTCACTATCTTATCTCTAAAATCCGCATCCTGTGTGATCAAATATTTTTGCCCCGCACTGTACGTAAAGCAATTTAGACACTGATTTAGTGAAAACCTGGAATAAGAATAATTTCGTCGGTATAATCATTTAAAACTTTACGCCAGTTATAAATATATTTAATTATTTTCAGTCGAGGACGTTTCCGAATGTTACGAATAGTTTACTTGCAAAACTAGCTTATACATTAAAATCTTAACGTTAGAACTACGAGTCTTAAACGCGATTAATGTATATTCAATGTACATAAAATTTATTCGAACTTCGCGTGACTTCTATTATAATGTATGCTTGAATGAAGAAGTTTATCATGAAGTATCTCTCATTTTTATAATTTCAGTAAAAGAAAAATGGGAAACCTCGTTTAGTAGTTAAATCCTAGAAAAAAGAATGATCAAATCTTCTGTTACGTAAGCAATTAAGTTATTCGTTCGTAACAATTATCTTAACATCGAAGATCGACAGTTAAAAACTTCAGGAAAACAATTGTTCAAAAGTGACAATAATTTCATTCATAATCTAACGAATTACTTAAATTAATATGACGTAACAAGTTATTTTGAAATTATTATTTAAAAGAAAACGAAGGAGCTTCGTTTTGTAATAGCTCAGTAAATGCTACTAATCATACTAAGAAGTTAATATTTTTACAATTGAAAGTTTTTCAATTAAATCTTTTCCTTTTCTATCAATAGAATATCGATTTCTAACAATACTATTATTGTCTAATGATTAAAAACAAGTTAAAGTACTATTGCAACCCCTTAAAAACTATGCATTTGTTTTAATTACATCGTACGAATAAAAAACGTGTTTTGTACCCGTTGTCGTTCAGGTGTTGATAAGCTGCTGGTAAATAAAGTGTTAACGTCGTAAATACGTGGATATCCATCCTCAAAGTACAGTAAATTCTCCCTAATTGACGCGCTGATTGTGCACGTTTTTATAGTTACCGATTGTCAACAACTATAGAAACGAGCTGCAACGCTCGAATAATCGTATCTCCTCTTCCCAAATTGTCCATTTTTGTGTACAATCTGAGCGTCAATTAGGGAGAATTTACTGTATACGGTTATCGAAATTGAGCGTCACATTTTTAAATTGATATAAAACACAAACTACTTGAGATATCTCAGGTTTCTTTATTTTAATATAAAGCCCATTTCATAACATTAATCGCGGAACACAATGTTGTTTAAATGACCGCCCCGGCTCTTTTTTCACGAGTCCGACTCGTTTCACCTAATTTTCTATTACATTATTACATAATTGGGGTTCTGTTTCATTAATGGCACCTATAATATTGTTTTTTTTAACTTATTAATCATTTGCGGTTATTGACATAAACTTTACATTTAAAAAAAAAACCATAGGAAAACATCTAACGGAGTTATTATACATCGCATGATCTTGGGAGCACGTTGATGTTTCTTCCCGAGAAATCAGGCGTTGAATGTTTATAATAATTGTCAACACAATTTGTACACGTTGCTGCATACTGTGGCGTGATTATTTGTTTATGCTTAATAACATGTGTGAAGTATAACAAATAACAATCGAATCGTTTAGCAGTGCCATCTGTTGAAAGATGTGACATTTAATTTGGATAACCTTATATTAAAATAAATATGAATTTTGATTATTTAATGGGACGCATGCTAATCGATGCAATTTCAAAAAGCGAGAACAAGAATTGCCTGCGTGTCAACACAATAGATTCGATCAACGCCGAGTGCAATCGGAAAACATTGAAACGCTTGCGACGGGACTTCGAGCGCGGTATGCACGAAGGTGCACCGACTCGCAACGGAAATACCGACGTGCAGTTTAATTATTCGTGTAATTTCGAAATGCAGGGAGCCGCGTCTGTACAGCGGATGCTCGGACATAATGCGTCACGTAATGACAAACTTAACCGCTTCCCCTTGGGTGTCGTATCGCCCGTAACGACGATGCTATTATTTTGAGGACATGGTCGACCACGTACATACGGGTGTGAAATCGCACTTCCTTTTTCACGGTGACGCCGGCGAACGCGGCCGACGCGACGTGCGGCCACTGTATCACTTTTTACGAGGCGAGATTTCAGGATGGTCATTTAATGTTTCCCCCCCTCTACGCTACGTTCCTTCGANGAATATCGATTTCTAACAATACTATTATTGTCTAATGATTAAAAACAAGTTAAAGTACTATTGCAACCCCTTAAAAACTATGCATTTGTTTTAATTACATCGTACGAATAAAAAACGTGTTTTGTACCCGTTGTCGTTCAGGTGTTGATAAGCTGCTGGTAAATAAAGTGTTAACGTCGTAAATACGTGGATATCCATCCTCAAAGTACAGTAAATTCTCCCTAATTGACGCGCTGATTGTGCACGTTTTTATAGTTACCGATTGTCAACAACTATAGAAACGAGCTGCAACGCTCGAATAATCGTATCTCCTCTTCCCAAATTGTCCATTTTTGTGTACAATCTGAGCGTCAATTAGGGAGAATTTACTGTATACGGTTATCGAAATTGAGCGTCACATTTTTAAATTGATATAAAACACAAACTACTTGAGATATCTCAGGTTTCTTTATTTTAATATAAAGCCCATTTCATAACATTAATCGCGGAACACAATGTTGTTTAAATGACCGCCCCGGCTCTTTTTTCACGAGTCCGACTCGTTTCACCTAATTTTCTATTACATTATTACATAATTGGGGTTCTGTTTCATTAATGGCACCTATAATATTGTTTTTTTTAACTTATTAATCATTTGCGGTTATTGACATAAACTTTACATTTAAAAAAAAAACCATAGGAAAACATCTAACGGAGTTATTATACATCGCATGATCTTGGGAGCACGTTGATGTTTCTTCCCGAGAAATCAGGCGTTGAATGTTTATAATAATTGTCAACACAATTTGTACACGTTGCTGCATACTGTGGCGTGATTATTTGTTTATGCTTAATAACATGTGTGAAGTATAACAAATAACAATCGAATCGTTTAGCAGTGCCATCTGTTGAAAGATGTGACATTTAATTTGGATAACCTTATATTAAAATAAATATGAATTTTGATTATTTAATGGGACGCATGCTAATCGATGCAATTTCAAAAAGCGAGAACAAGAATTGCCTGCGTGTCAACACAATAGATTCGATCAACGCCGAGTGCAATCGGAAAACATTGAAACGCTTGCGACGGGACTTCGAGCGCGGTATGCACGAAGGTGCACCGACTCGCAACGGAAATACCGACGTGCAGTTTAATTATTCGTGTAATTTCGAAATGCAGGGAGCCGCGTCTGTACAGCGGATGCTCGGACATAATGCGTCACGTAATGACAAACTTAACCGCTTCCCCTTGGGTGTCGTATCGCCCGTAACGACGATGCTATTATTTTGAGGACATGGTCGACCACGTACATACGGGTGTGAAATCGCACTTCCTTTTTCACGGTGACGCCGGCGAACGCGGCCGACGCGACGTGC